CATCATTGATGGCATTGAGTGTGGTGGCGGTAGTGAGGTTGGCCCAGGATCAGACATTGTTTCGTTCTGCTGTGCATGGGGTCGCTATGAGTTGGTTCCAACTCGATGGCACCTGACAACAACAACATAAACATATTCAAGACAATATTTTGGCGCTCATGGACTTGTTTTCATTTTCTTCCGGTCTCCCGTATCTCTTTGTTGTACAGGATCTCTGTATTGTGTTTGCCTAGTCTGCCATTTTGCTGGAAGTCCTCCTAATTTTTTTTTTTAATTTTATGCATATGGAATTACACAAGATGGTAGGTGAGCTTCCCAGAGTCATGAATTCATCAGTAAGAGCCACATGCCCTCTTCAGATGTAGCCCATGGCTGAAGAACTAAAGGGCCTCCCTACCCACCTGGGCACAAAGGTGTAGAAGTAGCCCTACCCCCGCACAGCCTCTGTGTAGTGATGTCTAATGGCATCCTTTCCGTGGAGCATGCTTCCCTTATGTCATCCTCAAGGCTAAATCGGCCAATGTCTTGTCTTTTCCCAGGGCATTGCTTCCCAATGAAAACCCTCCAAATACAGTCAAACTCTGCATTTTAACCTTTAAATGCAATTTGGGATGTTCAGACTTTTCTTTTTTATTTTTATCTTTAAGGTCCCTTCTAACTCTACAGGTTATTGCTTGGATTTATGGGCAAACTCATCTCTTCTGCCTCCTCCATATTCCTTCCCATGCCACTCTGTTGACATGACATCCTGAGAAATGGGCAAATAGATGCATGAACACAGGCCCCCTCCTACACTGCAGAAAGTCTAAAGCCACTGAAAGGTTCTGTCAGCCACACTCATGACTTCAATTGAGGATCTACTCAACTGCATTACATTTTGGTCTATTTTATGTGTGTGACTGTTTTTTAAAGGCTTGTTTGAAGTTCATTCATCCTATTGTCTTTGGAACAAATGAAATTCCCATATTTTATTGTTTGCTTTGTTTTGTTTTTAATTCCCTTCACACCAAGTTAACATGTATCTACACAGTAGCCAGTAATTTCCCCTCCCTTCCCATCTCACCCCTGATAATCATCAAAGAATGTCTCTTTCGGTGTAAAAACCTTTTCTTAATATTTACAGTAGTGGTA